GATCTGTCTAAAAATTGGTACTTGTAGGTCAGAGGCTCTAGCACACGTGGAGAAAAATTTTATGCATAGGTCCACGATTTTGTATAGCCCCCATATAACGGTACCTGCCGATATTCGGTACTTTGATGATTTTTGCCACATTTTTGTAATTGTCAAAAAATTGGTATTTGTAGTTCGTAATAGGTTTCAGATCCTGTCGCGGATAATAGTATATATGGGTCAACGTTTTGTTATAGCCCCTTATATAACGGTACCTTCCGATATTCGGTGTTTTGATAACTTTTGCGACATTTTTCACGGATTCTTCTAAATCATTATATTTGTATAGCCCCATATTATTGACGATTTTTCCACGGATTTGTCTAAAAATTTGTTTGCAGGTCATAATAGGTTTTAGCTCGTGTTTCGAAACATAGTATGTGTAGGTCCACGGTTTGGTATAGCCCCCATATAACGGTACCGGTACCTGCCGATATTCGATATTTTGATAAAAGTTGTTATTTTTAGTTCATAATGGGTTCTAGCCCGGTGGCAGAACATTGAATATTTAGTTCCACGTTTTCCTATAGCGCATATATAACGATGCCTACTTATATTTGGAATTTTGATAATCCTAGTCACATTTAAACACGAAATTTTTTCAAATTTGGTATTTTAAAAGATTTGGTAGATGACAACCCTTGAAGTATAAAATTTGCTATAGAGGTTCCAATTTTGGTATGACCCCCATATAACGGCCTAAACCACTTTGTTTTTTTTTCCAAAAAATTAACAACTTTATCCAAATGGTCATACTGGTATTTGTAGTTTGTACTTATTAAACCTCTATGTGTTAACTTCAAACTGCAAGCTCAGCGTCTGATAATGCAGTTGGCATTTTTGTACTTATTAAATCTCTATGTCTTAACTCCTCCCTCGTTTAAATGGAGGACGTCCCTGGACTCCCTGAGACCATCAAAAACTACTTGAAGATTTTGTCGGTGTTTGGTCTTTTGACGGTTCAGGTAGGTTTTAATGAAAACATAACATATAACCAAGAATGCTATTATAACAATTCCGCATATTACAGTCCAATTTATGAACTGTTTCTCCATGTCGTCAACATATTGCAGGTTCTGTATATTTAATCTCTGCAAATATGGCAAACTCAAAATTTCTTCATGGCCTGTTATGTTAACGAGTGTTGACACGGCCGGTTCTGGAGATTTTCTAACATAACTTCTTATGTTTCGGTATATGGAGTTATTGATAATCACCTCATTTTCAAATGTAATGAGGAAAGTCCCGATTAGTAGTTGGCCATTGATGGTAACCCTTCTGTCGTTAATGATGATTATGCCGTCATCCATAATCGATAACGATTCGAGATGGCTGGGACGTGTGGTACAATGTGCGATACCCCCTAAATGGAGTTGTTGAGCGCAAGTTGTCGTGTTTTGTAGTTTTTTACAAAATGTTGTTGTAAGTGTACCTCTGCAGTTTATGATAGGTATAATCTGGTCGCCACATCCAGCTATGTTGTTATTATTAGCAAAATTAAGGATAGTATTGTTGTGCTGAACTGGATGTATGATCATCTTCTTACAAACTAACTTAACTTTAGGGTATTTAATTATAAAATATAAAAAATCATTATTTAATAGAACTTTAATTTGGGATACTTCCATAAGGTCAGTAACCGTAATATTGGTAAAGTCTTCATTTTCAATTTTCTCCAAATCATTAGAGTCTAAGATAGCCGGATTAATTATTCCGATTTTTGTAAGAGTAACTGATAACAACAGGGTTTCAAGCTCGGCAAGATATATCATATAGATTTTCTGTGTTCATGTGTTCCGGTTTTGTGTTTCTTACTAAATTATTTACAGCGTCTGTTAATTAGTTTATTTTTTCTGGCGTCCTTGTATTTATTGTTATTTGCCTATGCTCTGACTCAATGAGCTCTTTTTGGGTAAATTTTATATTTTGAAAGTCGTCATAATCTGGAGTGCCGGCTACAACCTTAAGCGCGGTCCCTAGAAAATTTAGGCTTCTAGCATGCCTGTGATGAATGTTAATCGTTTCTAAGAGAGTCTTCATGTGTCGTATGTCAGAGTCCAGTGTCTGTTTCATATGTGACCTAGGAAAATGAATTCGCATGTCTTCTGTTTCTTTTAAGGTAATCGAAATACTCCCAATTAAGGCATTTCCGTCTGTTATTGGTATGTAGATTGGATTAGTGTAGTCGGTAATTTTTGCCGATATCGATACTGCGAGAAGTAGCGTTGTCCAAATCCTAGTAATAAAAAAAAGACAAAAACACTTTATTTTGGTTACCTTAAATTGTCTTTATGGACCACCCTCCCTTTTATTAAGACTGTGGTCACCAATCAGCCTCGACAGTTTCCTCTGTGTACAAATTTGACATTTTATTTCCTAATCTTCGATTTGATTTAACCAGAACTTTTTCTCCTACTTCGAAAACTCTATTTTGTCTTGTCTTATCCTGGGGTAGTACAGTGTCGCTGACGCATATAAAATTTATATCCGGGCATTTAAAAAAATTTATAGTTTCAAAACCACTCACATTTGCTAGTTTTTGGTTTTTTAAAAGAAGATCTAGACAAAGTATACCGTCAAATGTTGTCAGGTTTGTTAATAAAAAGAAGGTAGTATCGGTACCGAAAATATTTAAAATGCACTTGACTTTATAAATATTTAAAATGACTTTACGTGGAATGGTTTATTCACTGGCACAATATTGTTCAATTCATTAAATGCTTTTATAAAATTTTGGACGCTCCCGTGTCTATCAAAAATTTTATATTTCTCCCTGCAATTTCCCTTTCTATGAACGGTAGCAGGGAATTATTCCTAAAAATTGTAGTTCGTCGAATTCTAAAAGCACGTCATCTACTTCTTCGACTTGCTTTTCAGCAAACGCTTGATATTCGAATTCCTCTTGGTCAGGCGCGGTGTTGTCTGAGACTAATTGGTTAATTCTTTGTAGTTTTGGTCCGGTGTACCTAGCACTGCCATTGCTTGGTCTTTTACCCACTTGTCCCTGATTGGCATACTCATTATTTTGTGTGTTCTGCCTTTGAACATGCACCTGACTATTTTGCGGTTGTCCATAAGGCGGACTGTATTGTCGGTATTGAGTAGGTTTCCTAAATCTTGATGAGCTGTCTATTTCCATTGGTTCTTGTTGGACATGTTGCCCTTGTCTTTTAACAAAATGGGGATTTTTTACTTCTGTTTTGAAGTTAGTGTCCAATGTTCGGTTACACTCCTTGCTGTGTTGTCTTTGTTCGGAAATTTTCTGTCTTTGCTCCATGCTTCGTGCAAAGTTAGTTGCAAACGTGTAGCGCTCATGATTAACTTCAACTTCTTGCGCTAATGCCAAAGTTGAAGGAAGATCAGATGGTCTAGCGGAAAAAAGAACATCGCTTAAAGACTTATTTGTCCCTGAAATGAATACTGGCAGTACATCTGCTCTGTATTTTTCGTTCAGGGACGCGGCGACTTTGCCGTTATACGTCATTACAGTTTTATTGATGAGCAGAGTCAGTTTTTTCTCAACCTCATCATAGTACTGCAGAAGAGTCATATTTCCCTGTCGTAATTTTGACATTTCCTATAAGTAAACGGGTCTTTTATCTCATCATTTCTCATTTTTGCCATCGAATTCTGGCAGGGACTTTATAATATCCAAAGTTTCACTACACGAGACGCTCAATCTTATTTCAGCATCTTTGTACGTTTCTACTTCAGGCGTAGTTATCTGAACATTCCTTAATTCTTGCTTAACCTCTTCAAGTTTCCTACTAAAATTTAGCTCTTGTACAGCGAGTGCGCTTGCAACTGCGGCTTCTACAATCGTTTTCAACTGTTCCGGAGTCAGTGCCATTTTAGTCTCTAGTTGGTGTTGCAAACAATCGTTACTTTGAAGTCTTTGGAATTTATTTAATAAATCTTCTAAATCTCTATCACTCATATAATATTTTCGCACAAAAGAAAATCGAAATATCGGATAAAAACAAGAACAAAGGCCTTAAGTTTAACAAACACTTTTTTTTTTAAAATAAAAAATTCGAAAACACGAAGAAAATCTCTTGAAAAAAAAACATGAGCCTGAAATTCACTTAAAATTTTTTCACTTTTCCAATAAACACTCTACTTAATATTTAGTTTTAATATTTAATTAATAAGTTAATTGCTAATTAATTTGTTGATTGTTGATATCCGCTTGAGGGAAGTGTAGTGGGCCGTTGGTCGGTTTTGTGGGTATCGTTGCTTAACGATGACGATGTTTGCTTCTTTGTTGTTGTTGTTAGTGTTGATGATGATGTGGTTGTTAAAAAATTGGTGTTGATAATGATGTTGTTAAAAACGTTTATGTGGATTCCTTACCGGGCGGTTTAGTGGGAGTTGGGCGCCAGTTAAATAATAAAAGTATTGTGATTATTTTATTTTTATTTATTCAGTAGTGAGCAGCGATGGCTGGCTCCTATTTGTTAATTTTGTCAAATTACGACTAAAGTATTATTTTACTTTTAATAGTGAGCAGCGATGGCTGGCTCTTGTCTAGATGACTTGCGATCGCAGAGTGGTTGTTAATTTCTGCAACATCAGCATTTTGCATCAAACTGCAAGCTCAGCGTCTGGCAATGCAGTTGGCATTTTTGTGTTAACTTATACATTATTCTTACTATAATTGATATTGAAGGAGGTATGTTAGTCGTCGTTCAGTTATACCATCTACATAATTACACCAATTATTCGTCATTTTGCATGTTTCTGCCACTAACGACCGAATGATTTCCAACATTTAGATTTTAAAAAATATATTCCGCCAATAATTGCATAAATCGGCTCATCAACGTATCATACATTTAAAAATAAAACAAAATACTTTCAAAAGTGCATATTAAGTCACTTCTATGAATCCTAGCGGTATTACGCCCTTGAAAATTTATAAATGTTTATACGCTGCTTTGAATGTTACTGAATTATCTTACCTGAATAACTTTTGATGAAGAACATAAGCACTGACATGACCAGCGTCTAAATATCTTATTTCAGCACCTGGCCATATTTCTTCTAAACTTGTACATCCGTCTCTTGGTACGTAGGCATCGTCCTTTGCACAGACGGCAATTATTAATGACGTTTCTTTTGGGACGGAAAAATTCTTCAAATGCGTACATTCATCCATCATTCCTCTCATAAATTGCAATGCCTCCCGCTCCCACCAATTAATTTTGGTTATATCGATTTTTTCTTCCGAGCTTGGCTTGGGAAGTATCAGTTCCATCAACATTGTAAGAGAGTTACTATCATCAGAATTTTTTTCCAAGTTACCTTCAATTCCAGAAATTTTGCCCCTCTGCATCATTTTTGTATACGTAATGTCTTTCTTTAATTCAATTAGAGATTGGTTAAAATTCTTAATGAATGTTTGTCCTGCTGTAAAAGCATCATCAATAACTGTGACCATTTTCGACAGCCTTTCACGGTATTTTCCATCAGAGTAGTACTGCATTTCCAACATGTCCCAATTAATAGACTGGCTCATCACTCCCTAAAAGATTAAAAATAGATTAATAGTAGATTTCGGTAAGATTTAGATAAATTCTCATCAAATTTTCTGAAATGAAAGTGAGAACGAAGATGGTGATTGCCCTTGCAACAAAACTTGTAATTAAAAATAGCTCTAATATAACACACAGCGATATGTGGGTAATTGCATTAATAAAATTAATGTAAACAAGTAAAAAACATTAAGTTCGGCCGGGCCAAACTTTTAATACCCTCCACCTTATGGTAAAGGAAACATTAGAAGAAACGTGACAAAAACCATTAAAATGCCGAATATCGGGAGGTAGCATAATATGGAGGCTATACCAAATCGTGGACCTACACATGCAATGTTTCGCCAACGGAACTAGAACCCATTATGTCCAACATATACCAATTTTCAGACAAATACGTGAAAAAATTTGGCAAAAATCATCAAATTACCGAATATCGGGAGGTACCGTTATAATGCGGCTATACCAAAACGCGGACCTATAATTACAATGACTCGCCACACGAACTGGGACCCATTATTATCTACAACTACCAATTTTAAGAGAAATTCGTGAAAAAATGTGTCAAAAACCATCAAAATACCGAATATTGGGAGGTACCGTTATATGGGGACTATACCAAAACGTGGATCTATACATACAATGTTTCGCCACACGAACTAGGACCCATTATGACCTACAAATACCAATTTTTAGACAAATCAGTGAAAAAATGTGGCAAAAACAATAAAAATACCTAATATCGGGAGGTACCGTTATATAGGGGCTATACCAAATCGTGGACCCATACATGCAATGTTTCGCTACCGGAGCTGGAACCGATTATGACCAACAAATACCAATTTTTAGACAAATCCGTGAAAAAATGTGGCAAAAATAATCTAAAAACCGAATATCGGGAGGTACCTTTATATGGGGGCTATACCAAAACGTGGACTTATACATGCAATGTTTTTCCATACGTACAGGGACCCGTTATGACCTACAAATACCAATTTTCAGACAAGTCCGTGAAAAAATGTGGCAATAACCATCAAAATAGCGAATATCGGGAGGTATTGCTATATGGGGACTATACCAGAACGTGGACCGATATATCTCATTTTCAATACCAACCATCCTAGACACAATACAAATTGCTCTGCTAAATTTTGGCGCTCTACGTCAAATAATGTTAAATCGACTTAGAATTTTATGCTGATTATGAATATATACGACGAATATTTAAGGATGTTACAAACGGAATGGCAAAGTTATATATACCCTCCTTTCCAAGGTGGAGGGTATAAAAAAATAAACGATACATACAGGCATGTCACAAAATCGTATGGAAATGGTTTGAATATCGCAATTCAAAATCGTACATTTTTGTTCTAGCTTCTTAAGATTTCGTACGATTTAGTGAACTACGAATTCGGTGTGAATATGGCAACATTATATATTAAATATGGTAACATTAGATGAATGAAAGAACAATACATTTCTGAAGAAGCTAAATACGAAGTTAATATCAATCTCATTCTTTTTATAGAAAATCAATCAATAGGTCATACAATATCAAAAACATTCGGCAGAATTGATTGTGAACACAAAATTTGAGAATTTTTGGCGTTATGACACATTATTGCCTGTCAATTGATACATTCATATTTGACTGATTAATAACTATGTCTTCAGTGAATAGTATCGGTTTCGTCTTGAAACAAATTGTATTCTGTAATTTTAATGTATGTTGTAAAATGATATATTCAAAATTATTTGTAATTGTTGTTACCAAATGTACCTTCGACCAGCCCCAATGTCCTTTTAAAAAATTACTGAGCTTTTGTATATTCAGATTTCAATAAATTAATTGTGCTCTTATTTGTTACTGATTTATAATAGTCAAAAGTTCTCGGTACTGTTATTGATGATAAGCTATCTCAGCAAGGCCATATTCGAAATGTTATGACCCAAAAACATTAACTCTATGGTAAATATGCAATGCTGACTTAATTATTCCTTCAGTACCAAAACGTTGCAAAAATATACCAATCAATTACCAATTTTTTAATAAAAACAAAAATCTGTGGAACAAGTTGTGTTCACGGATAAGTGAACAAGGTTTTATAATAAAAGAGAATAGCGGGGCTACCTAGTGTAGAAGAGAGAGTTTTGTTAAACAGTGACTTTTTTAATGCAATCCACATCAAATAAGATGGCAGACCTTCGAGCCATTAGAAATAAATAAGATAGACATTTTCCTTTGCTACATGTGAAAGGTCTCAGTTAGATAACGAGATTTACACTAAACTTCAAACTGATAAGCATGTGCTGCATGTTTTCTTGACCTCCCCATAATATTTATGGCGGTGTGGTGCATAGACGTGTGCTAGGTTAGGTTAAGTCATATCATAAGTAGTTCTTAAGATATATTTTTATAATTAATATTGGTTGCATTACAACCACTCAATAAAGACAGACGTTTCATGCCTTTAACAAGTTAAAAAGCAGTAAGATCGGCCGAGCCGAACTTTGAATACTCTCCACCATTTCAACGAATTTGGAAATTTTCAAAATATAACTTCGTTACAAATTCTGTTAAAATCTTAAAAATACCCAATATAGCCGTTATATTGGTGTCTATACGACGTGGACCTACATAGGCATTTTTGTCATAAGCCACTACCATACACTACCATATTCTAATTCGAAACTTGAAATAAACGGAGAATAATGTAGCTAAAATCATCAAATGCCGTACATAGGGGGGTACCGTTACATCGGAGCTATACGAAGACGTGGACTTGCATAGACAATTTTCTGTTACAGCCCGTAGCTTCCATTACGAACTTCAAATACGACATCTCAAACAATTTCGGTGAGTATTGTACCTAAAATCGTCAAAATACCGAATATAGGGAGGCACTGATATATGGGGCCTATACGAAGACCTGGACCTGCATAGACAAATTTCTTGGCTGTAGTATACCTTACGAACTTCAAATACCAAATTTGAAACAATTCGGTGAATAATGTCGCTACAATCATCAAAATGCCGAATATCGGAAGGTACCGTTATATGGGGGCTATACGAAGATGTGGACCTGCGCAGACAATTTTCTGTCTTAGTCTGTAGTATCCTTTGGAACTTTTAATACCAAATTTGAAACAAATTTTGGTGAATAATGTCGCTAAAATCGTCAAAATGCAGAATATCGGAAGGTACCGTTATATGGGGGCTATGCGAAGACGTGAACCAGCACAATTAATTTTCTGTCATAGGCTGTGGTATCCATTACGAACTTCAAACACCAAATTTGAAACAATTCCGGTGAATAATGTCGCTAAAATCATTAAAATACCGAATATCAGGAGGTACCGTCATATGGGGCTGTACAAAGAGCAGAACCCGCTACCCGTTGTCCTAAACCCTTACTTCGTACGAGATTTCGTCTCCTTTGGTTTCTATTTGTGACCTTTATAACGGCTGCAAAATCAGGAACATTTTTAGTGAAAAACAAGTAAGCAAAGGCTACAGTCGAGCGGAGCCGACCGTTGAATACCCTACAACACTATAATAAACGATACAGTTTATATAGGCAAGATACTCGAAAGAATTCCACAAGATATTGTGACAAATAATAAAAGAAAACCATCAGGTTTCGTTCTCTAATTATCGAATAATAGCAACCTTAACTAATTTGCTTATTTCCAATTTATTGGTAGATGTTGCACGTAAATGGTCTTCCTAGATCTGGAACGAATATTTCCCAAAGACCTATAATCTCTTAAAAGTGGCAAAAGATTAACATTTATTATTGGTTTTTGACTGAAACGCATCTATATGAGATACAGTCATTTGACTATATTCTTCAACGAAATCAGCGTTAACGAAATAGTCAGAAGTGCGTCTTTCCTGTATTTGTGAATTCTCTAAAAAGTCACTGGAATGGACATTTTCGTATTTTGTCTACAAAAGTTGGCAAACTCCTTCACACATTGTATATTTTTGATGGCCACCCAAAACTGCTTGGTTTTTGCAATGTCCGGTAATCCCCATTCAAATGTGCGTGAGGATCGGGCGATAATTACGACCTCCTGACAATTTTGCAGTCTTTTTGGTCCATTTCAACCCCTAAATATATGGCGATCATCTCCAAAAAGGGTAGGCTTCTATTCTGACCCTCATCTGATCCCCATGCCAAATTTCGTTAGGATCAGGCCATAAATGCGATCTGTATATGATATCCTGATATCCTAAGTACTTAGTTTTGTTAGCTGTAGAAATATTACCAAATGTTTAATTCAAAATGAAAATATGCCAAAAATATGACAAAATTGAAAAAATATGAGAAAATTTTAGAAAATCAATATTTTCATCTTTAAAGAGATATTTTTATGCGATTTTTTAGACGTTTTTCCTTTCCTGCCAAGAGGCCATTCTGAATTAGTGAGAACTGTCGAAATCAGTTCAGCCGTTCTCAACATATATGAGATCTTTCAAGCATATCTCCTTTGATAGACATATATATCGCACATATTTTGCTATATATCCGATTTGTTGGATCTTAACATCAATGTAAAGATCAGAAGTAACCTTGTCATGGCTTTGTGATTTTCCCAGGATATAAAATATTCGCGGTTTAATGAAAATTTTTAAATTTTTTCAACAAAAAAGATATGGTCTATTTTACCCGCTAAATATTATCCGATGACCACCCAAATTGGTAGGCTTCTTCCCCGCCCTAAACTCTAGCTACATGCGAAATTCCGCGTCGATTGGTCTATAATTGCGACCTGTATAGCTACTGCAAAATCCGACATTTTTTTAGTATTTGGTCCATTTCATCCCCTAAACAATTGGCGATCATCTCCAAAAGAAATAGGGTTCTATTCTGACCCTAGCCCCACCTCCATTCTAAATTTCGTGAAGATCGGGCCATAATTGCGACCTGTAGAGTGATTACAAATTAACATGGACAGACGGACAGACGGACGGACGGACATA